TACCTTGAGTTGCAAAGAGGCCAAATAACCACGTGCCGGAGCCCAGAAACGCAGTTAATCCCAGGAAACCTTGCATTGTGGATTCTAGCAGTGCCCTAAAGCCATTTCGCCTGGTGCTGGGTGGAAAAGGCGATGATAATTTTCCCTTTCTGCCCTGAGCCGGGTGCGGAGTGTTGCTCAAGCTTCTCATCTCTGCTGTCAGAGTGGGTGGCACCTCTGCGGGAGAGGAGAGCCCTGCCTTTGTAAAGCGATTTGAAATCTTTTTCCGGATGAAAACACGCTGAAAACATTTCACTGGTAGCGGCTGAGCAGCTGTGACTTAGCTCTTCCACCCGATACCTGCGTATTTCCCAGCCCTCGTAAGCTGCTCAGGTTCCTCTGTTCGCTCAGCTCAATTTTAAAGCAAAAAGAAAAACAAAAAACCAAACCAAACCCCACTGAGGTTATGTAGAAAACTAGTAATTAAGCAGTGTTTTGTCAGCGCTTTTGGTTGTGATCCCATCTTAATGTGGTCGTCTCATTTGAATGTAAATGTCAAATACCAGAGCTCCTGGAGGAAGGCGATTGGGTGACATCCCGCTGGACTCGAGGTGGGGAAAGTGCAAACTCAGGGGTTTCGGTGAACGCTCTCTTCTGCTCCTTTTGCAGTTTGGTAGGTCGGAAAGAAGCGAGTTGATAACTTGAGCTTAGGAAAATAACTTTTTAGTATCGAGGAGCAGCATCGAACTACAGTCAGCCTCGGTACGGAGCCGGTCGGATGCGGAACAGCTGAGATTGCCGCGAGCCCTCCGCCTCCCTGAGCTCATGTGCGTTCTGCAGCGTTTCTCGCACCAAAAAATGACATTTTTGCCTGCCTGGCATCAGGCTGCGTTTGTGTTGGGCTGACCTGGGGAGACAGGGATAGCCGAAGCCGGGTTGTGTTGGTATTTTGGAAATTCAGAGCGAGCTCAGCACCGATGAAAGCCGAGTAGTTAGGGATGTGCGTTGTGTCATGCCAGGTTTGTAAATAAGGCTTGTAAATAAATTTGAGAGCTCTGGTATTGTTCTGAACTCTCTCTTTCACAGGACTGTATTTTAAGTTGACAGTACCCCCTCGGCTGCTACGAGTTGTATGCGAGGGCGATTTCCTCCCTGGGGGTGAAATGTGGCATCTTTGCAGCCCTGCAGAGCCGCGCAGTCTGGGACAACCAGCCTTGAATGCTTTTTCGGCGGTCTGGGGGTGCAGAGAGAAAAAAAGAGCTGCCTGGGAAATTTAGGTCAGTAGTTGAAGCTCCCCCTTGGTGGCCCGTTCAGACCTGGTTCTTGCCAAGGAGGGGACTAGCTGGCGGTCTTGCCGGCGGCTTTTGTCACTTGTCACCTGGCTGTCAGGGACTCCTTTCCGAGCAGATTTCACCCAACGCGTTGTGCTGGGTTTGGCTGGGACAGAGTTAATTTTCTGCTGAGTAGCTGGTACAGTGCTGATGTGAGAACAAGGCTGATAACACCCCGGTGTTGCAGTTGTTGCTAAGTAGTGCTTATCCAAAGTCAAGGATTTTTCGGTTTCCCATGCTCTGAGCGTGCAGGTGCACGAGAAGCTGGGAGGGGACGCGACTGGGACAGCTGACCCCCACTTACCGGGGGATGTTCCCCACCGGAGGACGTCATGCTCGGGATATAAAGCTGGGGGAAAAAGAAGGGGGGAGGCCACACGTTCAGAGTGATGGTGTTTGTCTGCCCAAGCCACCGTTACGTGTTATGGAGCCCGGCTTTCCTGGGGA